ATAACCATTTGGAAAATACACTTGTTTCTTTGTGACTGCCTTTTATATCATGTCCAATATGAAAGGCAGCTATGTTCATATGGCCCCACGTGAGAAACGTCTGTATAACATAATTAGTAGCACAGTGGTTGAATTTTGATGGGGTAGAAATGGAACACGGTAAGCTGTGCACGTTTTAGACATGATGACTGAAATGACTGATATACTACATGCATCTATCTTTTGTATTGGAGACAGATATCTGACAGATGCGGCTGTTAGCATAACTAGCCAGCCTTGTCACTGGTATCTATGCCTGTGACCTATCAGGCCTGTCAGTTAGTGTTGTGTTTGTTGTACAGCACTTCAGAGTCACACTGGTAGCCATCAAAGATTTATGTAAAGTTGACGAGCTGAAAGCATTTTGTACTGTACGGAAGACACGGCATGAGATTGATTGACAGTGGTCTATAGCCAATCAGGACGCAGAACACAATGCACTGTGGAAAAAACAAAAAAATAAACCCATGCAAAATTGCACCAAAAAAATCAGCGAAACAGCGAAAGGTGAACCGCGTTACAGCGAGGGAGCACTGTAGCTCCAAAGGCCCATCCACAGACGAAGCTGGTACACAGCTTTGCCTTAAAATTAGCAAAAGTTGAACCTACCCCCTTTGCATTACTAATAGTTAATTTGCCTCTCATGGCTGTAAATTACTGAATCAACTCTTCATTTTCTCTGGTGACGACATTGATGCCAATCTCTGTGCACAGGAAATACAGTGGTCATCACTTTTTGCAGTGCAGACAGAAAAAAAGGTTAAAAGGTCTGAAAGTACCTAATGTTTCTTTGTGTTTGTAGCTCAATCACAGGACTCACGTATTTGTGAGTTCGGGTGCTGTAGCACAAAATCTGAAAGTATATATATCACAGGGGTTTGTATGGAAAGGAGCCATGAACCACTAACCACACAAGTAGAAGTCAGGCAGACAGCAGCCTGCGAGAAGAATGATCTTTGATTTCTGCTGCTTTTCAAAGTTACATCAGAGAAACAAAGTGTTATTGGAGGAGACATGCTGACAGGGGGGAATCGGGAGCAGCGATGACGCACGGGAGGAGGCCATTGAGAATGACAAGACTTTGATGCTTTATAACACCAACACTTCAAGTATCTTCCACCTGTCTCAGCCGTCTTTACACACTGACCCGCAATAAAGAAGCCGCTTCTACCTCCAAAGGAAAACGGCAACATTACGATTCGTTCTGTGGCAACAAAGGTGAGGCCTCTGAGGTGAGGAGCTCCAACAAGGAATATTTAATCATTAGTCAAAGTCTCCACATTCACAGCAGTCTGTCTCGGGAGGAGAGCTGGTCTTTGTTAGTGTTACCATGGAGCGCTAACAGGACTGGGTGTTCTTTTTAACAAGAATTCAACACATGAGCGGAGGCTCAGAGACTCGCCACACCAATGCTAGAAATATTAATAACATCACACATGACTAGCTTGTTCCACCACATCAATTATCTTTTTTCAAGACGCTGCTTTGTGTTAAAATGAATTTAGATTCTGTGATATTATCTTAAGAGAAAAACAATTTATCATAAATGTTATCAGCATTTCCTAAAAGTTAATGTAGTAACACAACTGCACTAAATGCAATTAGTTTAACACGATGATTAAATGATTAAATTGCCTGGAAACCTTTAGAGTTTTTCTTTAATCGGACGGTGATTAGTCAAGCTGAGCAATGCAGAAATTGGGTGTTGTAAGCAGCAGGTGGACTGTGTATTCTTCCACTGCATTAGCCTGGACAGCAAGGTAAACCTGCTCACCTTGATGGTGTGATGGAGGTGTGCTGGTCACAGTCAAGTGCCTGTCACCTGCAGGCTTCTTCAGCTCACGGTGGCTTGACTGGTTTGTCACTTGTAGTTTTTTTAATGTGATGCAGAAGCAGCAGGACATGCTGGATTTGCGTCAGCAGTAACTTAACGCAGCAGTAAGAGAACAGCAAGCTGTCACATTGCCAAAACAAGTTTCACACCAAACTAGAGGAAAACTTCTACATGAAAAACTGGAAATATGAACACCAGGCTTTTTCTACAAATCACTGCACTGACACTGGTGCATAAATACTACATGTGGTTCAAAGAGACAGTCTGTCCCTGGGTCAGGATCACTTTATAATAATAATAATGGATTGCATTTATATAGCGCTTTTCGGGGCCCTCAAAGCGCTTTACAATTCCACTATTCATTCACTCTCACATTCACACACTGGTGGAGGCAGCTACAGTTGTAGCCACAGCTGCCCTGGAGCAGACTGACAGAAGCGAGGCTGCCATATCGCACCATCGGCCCCTCTGGCCAACACCAGTAGGCGGCAGGTGAAGTGTCTTGCCCAAGGACACAACGACCGAGACTGTCCGAGCCGGCAACCTTCCGGTTACAAGACGAACTGCCAACTCTTTGAGCCACGATCGCCCCCGTCTACACTTTAATCAAAAGTAGACGGTTATGTCCATCTGGAGTAACTTTGTTTCTTCCCCTTCTTCTTTGTGAAATATGTACATAAGACTGAGGCAGGGAAGGCAGCAGCAATACCTCTGTTCAGAACAGAGCACACAGTAAACAGATGTAAGTCAGATATGGTGTAAAAAGGAGGAACTGGGCTGGAGTTGGGTTGCAAAGTGGCTTGCAGACACAGAGGAACTATGGGAAGGCTAAAGCAGTTTAAATAGCAAGTCGTACATAAGATTAGCCAATTCGATTTGTAGCTAAGCCCATCATCCGTGTGGGATGGCACTGAAATGCTTGGCTTGAGCTCGACTTCTTGGCCTGCATGAACTAACGCAGGCGTTGGTTCCATATTTGCAGCTCTGTTCTGCGACTCTGTTCTGGCACCAAGATTTCCTTTTAGCATCTCGGTTGTAGACTGAGCTTAAATGTGTTAGGACCACACACGGATGCAAACACACAGTTTGGCTGCTCTCATGTAATCATCACTCAGTTTCTGTTGTCATACAACAAATGACAAATATGTGCAAACAGTGATTTGATTGTGTCTCATAAATGTTGATTTTACATCACAGTCAGACAAACCATACACACTGCTGTGACAGATCCCTGCTTAAATAATCATTTAAAAATAATCTTTAGTGGTACCAGAGCGCTGCTCCCAGCGCAGACATATAACATTGTTGTAATGGTTTTAGTTTGCACAGTGAATGATTGCTCCTCAAAGACAGACTAATCCACACACACACTCTGTTTAAGATTCATTCCTGAACATGTTCTTCAAAGCTCCTGGAAATGTTAGGCTCTCTGTATTGTGTCTGTTTCTGATGTAGCTTTATTGTTTTATTTCAAATCCTAAACCTTGAAGATAAAGCAAACCCCTACAAATGGAATCAAAACTCCGGCTTCATTTCACGAGTTATAACTAGCTCAGCTGTCCCAAACACATCAAATGACTGTTTATAACTCGGATTTGTTCAGTAAACATTTGTAACTATGGAGGGATATTTCTTTAGTCATAATACCATCAGATATGTCACAACTACCAGGAGATGCATCTGGTCTCTGATTGAGGAATAATTTTGAAAAAGGTAAAACACATGAGAAAATAAAACAAAATAAAACCAAAGTAGAAGCAGTATTAGGATGTCTTTTGTGTGGTGATAGTAATTAAGCAGTGACGTTCGTGTCAGTTTATCATATCTTTAGAACTTTAAGTAAGACGATTTGGAACACGTCGTCTCGATGTTCTCAGAAAGTCTCACAATCATGTTTATCCTGTTGAGGGCTGTGGTGACGTCATCAGATAAGCTATCAGTCTCTGCAGTCATACAGAGTACAATAGTGCAATGAAACTGGAAAACTGTCCGACGTCGGCACTGCGTACGACACAGTAACTTAAATTAAGTATAAAAAGAAGAAAAAGTTTATGTGTGTTGCACATTATTATAATTATTGCGCCTTGTTGCAAATATAAATATTATTATTGTTATTGTTGTTACCCCCCCAAAAGTCCAGGCAGGTAGCCAATCAGGTCAGCTGTTAGCACTGATTAGTTACCTGTTGTAAAAGCTGTCCTTGAGTCTGTTTGTCCGGGATCTCAGCAGCGTGAACCTCCTGCCAGACGGCAGCAGCTTAAACCTCCGGTGTCCTGGGATATTTTTTTTTTGTCCATATTAATGACCCTCTGAAGTGCTCTGTTAAATGCTCTGAATCGATTTGCAGCAACATGTTAACAGATGCAATAGAAAGTCTGTGGCATTTGGCAACTTGAGTGTTTTTAATTGTAAATCTTCAGACTGCTTTAAATCTCAGCTTTATTTACTGTGCAGTTTTACCCTCTAATATCTTTTGAAGTTCTGTATCTATATTCACTCTGTGGTTCTTGGACAGCGCCATGTAGAATTGTCTTGCTTTGTTTACATTGGTAAGCCTTCTTCTCCAGGTTTTATACATGTATGTACATATATTGCTACATTTCTCATTGTATTTTTATGAAGTTGCTAGTCGAGAACCAGGTCCAGTGCTCATTTAAACATTGCATCATAACTCCACTAGTGGTCCAAACCACTGTGTATGGTTAACATGTGAGACCATGACATGAATTTTAAAAATGATCTTCTGAGCTGCACTATTATCCATGCACAACACTTGTTTCAGCCTTTCATGTTGGTGATGTACAGTATTATGGTCACAGGGCTGGTTTATGATTCATGTTTATTCATGCATTCAAAGCAGATTTTTCAAGGTTTCCATCTGTCCGTTCACATCTGCCTGTTCTCTGCCACTACTAATAAGACTGACGGATGTTGCATATTTTCAGGGAAAGGATGGTGCTGGGCTGTTTTTACGGCTGGGTGTGGCTACAGGCATGAAACAGCTTTTGAAAGAGCATGTTGTTATTGCAGGACTTAAAGCAAGTACAGAGATGTTTCTCTGTCAGGGCTCTTCATCTGACTCTGGTTTTGCTCTCTTCCTGCCCTCATCTCCGTTTCTTTCCCTTAGGCACGCCCAGCTTCATCAAGTCCCCCGAGGATCAAACGGGGATTTCGGGAGGAGTGGCGTCGTTCGTATGCCAGGCGGTCGGTGAGCCCAAGCCTCGCATTACCTGGATGAAAAAGGGAAAGAAAGTCAGCTCCCAGCGCTTTGAGGTACGACGCGTGAGCTCCCTGTCTGAAGTGTTTGAGTGTGCAACACCTCCTTGTCTCACACCTTCACTGCTCATTACCTGTCTGCATTTGTGTGATACAGAGCAGCAGGTCACACGCTGTCATTTTATAGAACATATGCAACATGCCGCTCAAGAAGATGTGTGTGCATTTAGCAGGAGAGGCCAAACTGCAGACTGGTGGTGTATTTATTCATTACTACCATGCACAAAAAATCAGACACAGCAGCTTTCTCCATTTAGTGCCTGCTTGAAAACCACTTAATGCAAATTATGTTAGTTGTGTTATTCTAATGAAAACACTTGAGGCTCAGAATTAGAGGAGGAGGTGCAGATTTTGATGTCTGTGGCTTCAATGGTGGAGCAGAACTCTAATAACCTGCTATGGCCAGCACATCAGGTTTATTTAGTGTGTGTGATTTCGCTCAAAAGCATCTCTCACATGTCTCACATGTCTATGTTATGAGTGAAGCTTTTAAAATTTGACATCGTGAAATTAAATTTGAATTGAGTGCATTTCATTTTGTTCAGCAGAACAGCAAACAATTAAAGCTCAAATACCAAAGTTTTATTTCTCACTTTGAAATGCAGGAAAGAGGTTGTAGACTTTGTGAAGGCTGTGTGTGCTGGAAACTGATCTGAAACCAGACAGAACAACTGTGGAACTAATGATTTCTTTTTTACATTTTTGACTGGAGATCTTCTCATTAAAACATCTGAAAAAAGAGGGAAAATGTCCGTCACATTCAGAGGGCCTGTTTTTATTCAAAGCTTAGAGATATCTAAAGCCAAATGAAGACCGCACATGGGCTCAGTAATAAGCATCGTGGCTTCTTAGTGAGAGGGTCCCGGGTTTAAACCACAGACTGTATGTGAAACATGGACGTTATAGTGGCAGTGTCCATCTTTAATATACAGTCTATGGCTCAAGCATGGCTTTTATGTGTCGAGGTTACGTGTTTACGCCAACGTCTCCAGCCGACTGAAACAGGGCACTGCTTATATCTGCATTACACTTGGAAGCCAGTTTTCAGGCGTTAGGCCGAGTCAAATGCAGGAAATAAATGTCCCTGTGGACGGCAATACACTTCCTTTTTATTACAGTTATTACTGAATGAGTTCTGCACATTTTTAGACTTTCTGAATGCGCTCTCTTGCCCTTGAGACGACCTCTGACTCATAGGAGCCCAGAAAAAACACTGACGTACCAACAAAGTTCATATCTGCTGATCTCAACTGGATCATTTGTGTTTCTTTTATTCGTAAAAGGCAAAAAAGTGTATTTTCACCTCTCTGTGAACAAACACGACATTTTAATGACAAGTTGAAATACCTTTTGATTAGATATTAAATGTCTTTTCTATATTTGCATAATTCTGAAAAATTCAGTGAACAGAACCCTGATTATCTCGTCTATCAGCATTAGTACTAAAAACAATAATTAAAAAATACACGCATGGTGACATTTTGAATCAGCGTAATTTAGATACATGTGCAAGCTACAAAACGCTGGCAGAAGATAAAATATGCAGAGTTAAAACGTCTCTCTGTAGTTTTTTTAATGTAACTTTAGGCTGTGTGACCTTTAAATACGTTTTGTAATCATGCACTTTTTTTTAAAAGTACATGATTACAAGTCATTTCCAGTAAAGGCTCGGTGTCAGGATAGGACCTTTAGGTTTAATGGGTGGAGTTGAGCTTAAATTCCTTAACATTTTTTGCAGTGTGTTTGAGGATAGACGGGGTCTGGAAGGGCTTTGCCTATGAGCTGTCTGTGCTCTGTCTGCAGCAGTAATTAGTTGTGCAGTTAAAGCAACATTTACATCAATGGCAGGACAACGCAGCCAACCCGTGCAGCTGAAAAGTGTGTGCTGTGTGGTAGCAACAAAAACCACAATTCTTCTAAATTGCCACTTGAGGCTGGCTTCAAAAGCGCATCAATCTGCACCGACTCCCTTGTTAAAGTATGTTTACAGCCTGCTACAAAACAGGGACTGATTCTTTCACAACATAAGTGAAGAAAGAAAACTGTCATCAAATAATAAGCAAAGTGTATCCTTCTGTCCTCAGAGGTGAATTAGCACTAGCCCTGCTATAACCTTGATCTTTTGAACATTTGACCTGACTTGAATGAAGATGGAAACGAACTACCAGCAACAGTTGTAGCACTGAACTAATAATATGACCGATTATTTGTGTGATCAAACCTATAAGTCAAGCCAGTCAAACAGGACTGCTGCATACGAGGTAACGCTATGTTTTTCTAATTTGTACGTTTGTGATTGATGTGCTTTGTGACAAAATTAAATGAAGTGAACTTTGAAGGATATTTTTTCATCTACTGCAAAATGGCTTCTATACAACGAACAGAAGCACTGAGCAGAAAGTCGACCTTTTATTCATGCAGCTGCATTAACACACACAGCAAAAGCTTAATAAATAGGACTGTACAAGCCTGCCTGCAGGACTCTGCAGCAGCAGGAAGGCTCATTAGCTGCCAGCCAACCCAAATGACTTCAGCTGAAGTGACTCAACATGAGTCCTGCGTAGACGGAGACACTTGGTTCCTGTCGTTGTGAGTAATAGGAATTATCTTCCACCTGTCTGCTCAGCATTATTTAAACTGATGGCGACCCTGTGTGTGGTGTGGATGCACCACCTCCCAGTACTGAAAGACAGTCCAGTACTCCCTCGGTACTTTCACTTACGTAGTCTGTTATTCTGTTTTATTTGATTTCTACAATTAAAAAGCTTTAATCTTGGTCTATAAATAGCCACAGCCCAACTATTTTAATCCTCATGAAAATATCCTTTCACACAGGGGTCATATTTGCTCACCTACCTGTTTAATGTTTTGTTTTTCATTAGATGCTCCAGATTTGTTCAGACTTTGCTCTTCACATCGTCACAGCACATATATTCATGATACGTTATATATCTATATTTTACAACTTACCTGAATTGTATATTTATTCATTATAGTTTCAGAAATTGAGCATGCAGACCGGTGAGTGTCTTTCACTTCAAAATTATAGTAGCCTAGTATCTGGATATGTTAGCTGTAAAGTTCTCTCTTTGGAAGACACAAGATATGTGCACGGTGGGAGAGTCCTGAGCTATCGGCTATTGTACTACAGAACACGTCACAGCACTTATATTTCCACAACCAGACGATGATTCTCTTGAAAAAGGCAACAGCAGCACATACAAAGGTTAAAGATCTAGTTCAGTGATAGCAGCAGCGAGGCATAGCATGTCCTTAAGCCCAGTGTCCACACTGATGAGTTATTAAAGATAAACAATGATTCCTGGACATCTTCGAGTGTTTGTAGGCAGCTTGAAGTAAACAGTACATGAATGCAGGCGTTGACATTTCAACCAGGGCTCGGTTTTGGTTTCAACATGCAGAAAATGTCCTTCGAGGTTTGTAGAGTATCTGAGTTTGTTTCAGCTAACAAAAGCGTTTACATGAGAGCGTGTGAGTGTGCAGCGTTAGATATGAATGGCTAACAGAGAAATGGCAGTGTGATGAAAGCAGTAACAGCTGAGAACAGAGCGTCTAATCTGGTTTTCAGGTTAGGTGAGTAAATCCGTCAGTATTCCTGTGATAGACAGAAAGGTTCACTGAGTGATGGGTGAGTTTATAACCTAACTCTCCTTTTGGAACAAGAACAGACAAACCAACACTGTTTTAGAAGAGCCTCAACAGTGGGCCGTGTTTTGTTTGTTTGTTTGTTTCTCTGCTGCTGCTTGACGTTGCTCGGCTCCTTGTTCTAAGGTTGTCTTTCCTGCAGCCTCCATGTGTGTCAAACCCCACTTTCTGTACGCAGGAGCTCTGATCTTATTCGTTTGAAATAATTCTACGTCTGTACAATGGATATATAACTGGCTCGTACCACGCGGAGCAATGGGAATGATTCTCCTTTGGGCTAAGAGTTAAACTGATGGCTTCCCTGTGTGCTCGCTGGATCGACCTCCTACTGAGGCAGGAAGAAAGTGCAGCTCCACACTTCCTTCATTGGGGCAGGAATTTGATTTCTGCCAGTCCACTGCTTGGGTCGCACGCATTTCAGAGGGGAGGAAGTGCCGTGACCCTGACTCTTAACCACAGCCCGTCGAACATTTCTAAAGCCCTTACATACCTGATATCCAGTCAAGTCTGTTAGCACATTTGTCCTTCAGCTCATTCCAAGCATTCTTTCTTTTGCTCTTTGAGCTGCTGCACTCTTCTTTTTTTTTTATTTCCACCTTATTGTCCAAATGATTTCCCTCATTTCTCACTCTTGTGCTGCTTCCATCAGGAGCCTTGGAGCAAAGTGCTGATCTGGTGCTCCGCTTGCAAACAAAGCAATCAGAATGAAATCTGGCAGCTGCCACTTCAGTTCATCCAAATCTTCCCTAAAATTAGACGCGCTCCATCGACTGTAGTGACACTGAAACCTCGGTTTGGCCGATGCTAATGGGACGCAGAGGGAACGTCCCCATCCAGTGACACCATATCACCTGTGACACACACACACGTATGACTTTGCCAGTTTCAGCTGAAACAATTTCAGTGTTTCAAACCATGTTCCAGAGTTTATAGTTCACCGTTCATGAAGTTTCAAGAAGAAAATGAAAGACAGATCTGAA